GTGGAAGACAAGACTGGGAGGGTGGTGGACAGAGACGGGAATACCAGCCCTTGGGACCTAAGCAGTGCCAGACCCACGCTGGCTGCCTTCTATCTGACTGCTGACCACCTCACGGACAGTCTCATCAGCACTGTGACGTAAGACATTTCATCCCATTTACAAATGAGGGAACTGAGGCTCGGGAGGGCAATGTCTAGCCCAGATGAAATTCTAGGTTCTTCTGACTGCAGTCTGAGTTCTTTCCATTGCCTCGTGTATTATTCTGGCCTTTGGGGCCTGCAGGGCCCACACTCACCCAAAGGCTGGCAGCTCACAGTAGACCAGCTGCTGGCCTGGCCAAGAAGTTTTGGGGGGACAGAGTAGGGGCTGCCTGGGGGACAGGAGCAGTTGTGGGTAGATCAGGGATCCAGCTCAAAGGGCTACAGTAGCAGTGGCAGGGGCAAGGCAGGGGTGTGATGGAAGGGGGAAGAGTTTACTTGTGTGGTACTCGCTCACAGGGCCTAACCCTGACAGTGCCCGGAAACCCAGCTCTATCCCAGCAAGTGTCCAGGGGCCTGGGCCCTTGAAGGCGGGAATGGCTAATGCAGAGCAGAAGGGAGGAGGGAGCCAGAGCTTGAGTGAAGAGCTCTCTCTCTCCCTCTGGGCAGCCTGCTTTTTCTCTTATCTATAGCTTACGAGCACACACACACACACCAAGGCACACAGTCACAGTTACACAGGCTACACAATCACACGCCCAGCCGCAGACACTTAATCACACAAGCACACACATTCAAGGGCTCACTCGGAGTCTTGCACATACACCAGGCCTCATGGGCACAATCAGACAGTCACACAACCACCTGCAATGACCCTGACTTACAATCAAACACACCACAGTCACACAGCTCATGCACTCACACACTCTCACACGGACTGGGAACCAGAGGACTGTTCCCAGGAAAGCCTCTGCCTGTGAGTGCTACTCAGGCACAGGAAGGGTGGGAAGTGTCCTCAAATCTCTTTATTGCCATTATCTGGGAGGGGAAGTTGCCTCTCTGACCTCCTGGGAGCTGCACTGTGAGGGGCGTCATTCCCCCACAGTGACATCAGCTGAGGCCCATGCTGGGGTCGGGTGGGGTGGCATGATAGGGTGCGGTAACTGGCCCTGAGGGAGGTCAAGGGCAACTGGGGAGTGTTGTGGAAGAAGCAATACGCCTCAGTGGGAAAAGGAGACCGGGGTAGGGCGGACCTGGGTGTCTGTCGTCTCAGCAACCTCTCACTGGCTGTGACCTTGGGCAATGACTTTACCTCTCTGAGTGGCAACATGCAGCAGGAAAAGGAAGGTGATAACAGCAATCTCACAGGACACTTAAGAGTGCCGAGATAGTATCTGTCAAGTACTGGGTGGAGGCCCTGGCAACCAGTGGCAACAATCACGTTTGTGATGGCCACAGGAGTCGGTGTGCGAGTGTGTGGGACACCGAGGCCCGCTGAGGCTCAGAGGCAGGGCTGGAGGGCAAGGGTCAGCAATGCCGGTCCCAGACTAAACTGGTCCCAGAAAAGCAGCGCCTTGGGAGACTCAGAGTCTGGGGTTGATGGTGGGGTGGCCTTCCTGCCCTAATCTTGCAGTAGAGGGGCACTGGGCATCAGGAGGGCTGGGCTGGGGCTGCAGGCTCGGAGGCAGCTCTGAAGTGGGCCCTGCCAATATGTTTATTGCTGAGAACTAAAGGGGCTCGTTGGCTCTCTCCAGCAAGCTCTGGTTCATAGGAAGATTCTGAGGGCTGGCCACTCGGGTCCCTACCAGTCTGTAGGAGCACCCAGCTCCGGGCTGCAGAGAAAGGGAGCACAGCGCCAACGATGAAGGAAACCTTCCAACAGAAGAAAGGCACACAGCTGGCAGCCCCGCCCTCTGGCGGCCGCCCTTGCTCACTGCAGCCTCATTGCTTTGGACTAAGGCAGAAAATACCTTTTTTATCTCATAGCACACATAAACTAATTACTAAAATATACATTATATTTTTTGCCAATCTGACCCAAAAAATGGTATACTTTTTACTCATTCACAATGGACGGCTACTGTTGTGTTGGCTGTTGTCATTTTTCTGACAATATAAGATTCTAAGGGAAAAGAGGTCAGTGCTCCTGACTAAACAGGTACTGCATGGCTTAAAATTTTGGGGGGCACACCGGTTGAAAATCGCTGGTCTAAGGCCCTCGTTCAGCCCAGTAGCTCAGGTAATAGCGCCAAGGAACTAACAACATAGTGTGGAGGACAGTGTAGACATTGGGCTGGAAGGCCAAGGTTTGAAATCCTAGCTCCACTGCTGCTGCTCTTACTATTACTTCTACCACTTACGAGCTGCATGACCCTGGGAAAGTGACTCCATCTCTTTGTGGCTTAGACTCTTCATTTGCAAAATGAGGTTAATAATAATAATAGCATCTACCACACAAATTAAGTAACAAATAATAAACGGTAGCTAGCTGTCCTATTTTGTACTTCAGGGGTCAGCGTAGCTTAGGGGCATTGCTTGAGAGCTGGGATTCAGAGACAGCCTGACCTGAGGTTGAACTGAATTCTGGCCCTGTTGCAGCCACTTACCAAGCTTGTGCTTTGCATGTTGACTAGTCACATGTCATATGGAGAGAGAGATGCCAGGAGGTAAGTTCAAAATCACTCTTGAAAATCCTTTAGGAAGACACCATGTTGGGGATAAACACGCCATGTTTCAAAGTCCAATGTGGTCAGTTTTTCTAATTCTTGGTTATAGTCTGTCTTTCAAGTAGCTGGCTTGCAAGGCCGATGAAGCACAGACCATGGGTATCTTTATCCACTGCTCATACTCAGCAGTGAGATGCTCACACAGAGGTGCATGGAAGCAGATACCTGTTAGGGTCTCGGGTTTGAATATTCCATCTTACACTCACTGAGGGGCATGTTCATCCCAGGCACTCATTACATTACTTAAGATCTCCACTGTCTCTCTTTTTGTGCCATGTGTATAACTGAATTTGTCTACTTNTTTGAATATTCCATCTTACACTCACTGAGGGGCATGTTCATCCCAGGCACTCATTACATTACTTAAGATCTCCACTGTCTCTCTTTTTGTGCCATGTGAGTGAATGCATTCAGGATGCAGCTGCTTTGAGACTTAACTCCCTGAAGTGGCTTCCTCTTCTGTAAAATGGGTCAGTAACAGTATTCTACAGTGTTGGGTTCTGTGTACATCAAGTACAACGTGTGTAGGAATTTTAAATGTCTGTCAGGTAAATGAAGTTCTCCACTCCTCCCCTTCCCTCAATTTTTCCAATTAGCTGTACGACTTTGAGCAAGTCATTTCCCTCTCTGGGTCTCAAGGTTCTCAACAGCAAAATGTGGGAACTGTATTAGATGATTTCTAAAGCCCCTTTTAGCTGGAAACTTTCAAGACAGTTCTGCAATTCTAAATCATTTAGATAGCAGTCAACCCTTCTATGAATGCTGCAGCTTACATGGTTTTCCCAGGACTGCTTTATCCACCTGGTAAGGGTTCATCCAGTGTATATAGCAGCCCTTCGCACACTGTAACATGCTAAAGTCTTGGCAATTAAACATGCATCTTAACAATCTTGTTTACCTTTTTCATTTGATCAGCACAGAGGTGTACTTCACCTGCGCCTGAATCGGCCCACAGCGACCATATTTAACTGCCCCCTACTATAGTCCTTCAGAGGCACTGCTGGACCAAGATTCACCTGCGATGGGAGAAACACAGAGCTCCCCCTGCAAGCGACACACACACTGGGCAGGTAGGCACTCTCCCTTTGGGAAAATTCCTTTTTGGAGGGCAGGAGGGTAAAAGGAAATGAACTTTGGAGTGAGGCCCCAACTGAGCCAGTTTCCCCATCTATAAAATTGCAGTAGGTAATTTTCGTGGCAGCATTGTATGGGTTAAGTTCGAAATAACATGAGGCCTTGGGCAGGATCATGGACTGGCGGGAAGCACTCTCTGTGAGCGAGACAGACCGCAGCTTCAAGTCCACTGCCACCGTGTTGCTGGTCTCCCCACTACTTAGCCTATTCCCACATCAGTCAAGTCGGGACACCGCCACTTACCTCGGAGGATTTCTGTGCTTGGTTGCTTCCTAGCAACCCATCAGTTCTTCCCATGCTTCAACCCCCACCCTCATGCTCAGAGCAGTGGTATTAATGCAAAGCTTCTCCCTTCTGCCTGGGACCCTTTGAAGACTCCAACTGCCCATGCGCCCTGAGGCTTTCCTAAACCACTGCCCCAGTCCCCCCATGACCCAAGTCCTCCCCACCAAAACCTTGCCTTGCGAGGGCATACCTTCCGAGTAGCCTTCCCTGGGTTGGATAGGTCTGTATCCCCTAAAGACAGGAACTGGTCTTCTCATCTTTGGATTCCTCATGGGAAGGTCTGGTATAGTGTGTGCTCCTCTCACCCTTTGGAAATAGCTCTCTGGAAAGGTAGTGCTGGGAGCAAGATTGGGACAAGGGTAAGGCTAGGGACGGGGAATTCCCTTGGCAGTCACAGAGGATGGTGTAAAAGAAAAGGACAATGGAGTCAAATGACCTGGATTCAAACCTCAGCTCGGCCGCTTTCCAACCAAGGATCTGGGTAAGCCACTAGGCAGCCTGCCCCACACTGCAGGGTGAGGACAGCAAGACCTACTCAGCGCGGCCCCTGGCACGCATGAGTACTTATGTTCCAGGTGCTGTTCTGAATGTTTAAATGCGTAAATTAATCTCACTATAACTCTAGGCGGTATTATTGTCCTCATTCATAGGCACTGGAAATGAGGAAAATGAAGAAAGTGAGGCTCAGAGATACTAACTTTCTCAAGTTCACAGAACTAGTGAGATGTGCAGTAAATGGCAGCAATAACTGTTCTGAGGCAGCGATACATGGGACAGAGTCTCCGAGACCCCAAGGAGTGACTGAGGGGCCTCTGCATCTGGACTAGCTCCAATCTTAGTCCCTTCATTGTAGCAAATGACACAGATGAATAAAGTGTTATAGAGTTAACATATTTATTTTAAGTGCCATTCATGCATATCAATTCTGGCAGCAACAATCCTAATGACACTTGGAATATTTCTTTACAGCACTAAACAGTTACAAAGAATGGGTGCCGTTCATCATAGAGGCAAAATATGAAATCGTGCAATAGCAAAACTGTAGAAACATTAAAACACTGACTGTCCAACAGCAGTACAGAGAGCAGATTGTGTTTGCACAAAAAGCCAATGCATCTTCATCACATATATACAATATAGATATGTACACATCGCCCTCTGAACAATATCAAAATACTCTATTCCATTTGAAATTATCCCGATTGACCCCCCCCCACTTCAAAGGACATCTGAGAGACACGTATTTACAAGTACACACATGGATACATTTACATTTCAAAAACTGCCACAAATGCCAGTCGGATTATTCTCCTGGACAGAGTACCCCCAATTGATTATATGCATTTATTATTCTTTTCCCCCAAAAGTCTTCAGTCAATTTAAGCCCAAGACAGAACTTACTCTGAATTAACAATTACCAACTGAAATGGCCACTAGAGGGATGCTCTGCACCTCACGAGGTAGCCCTGTCTGGCTGGAGCCCCCTGAGGCCTGTCCTGGGCTCCCAGGTCACTGAATCACAAGGTTGGGATGGGTCTGGATGGAGGCTCTGCCTCCAGTGCCATTCTTGGTAAGTTTAAATTCTTACAAAAATATTGATCACTGCAAATCAGTAAATAATTACCAAGTAGGAAATTAGCTTCACACAATTTGAAAAATCTTCATCAGTGGTTTCTACTCAGATCATTTAACATAAGAGACTGCATTCCAATACCCAAATTGTTTAAAGTGCGCATTGCTACCCAAGCAATTAGAAGTGTCAAAACAGTCATTGTGGTATCCAGAAAACAGTGACTTGAGCAGACTACTGAAAATCACACACACAACACACCCTTTTTTCAAGCTTTTACTGTGCAGGCTGCTAGCTCATCTTGCCTCTGATCCATATAAGAGGGGCCTGTTGGCTGCCTTTCCAGAATCCTCTGATGTTCACTGATCCAAGGGGCTGGAACTAAGCTTCCTTTTTTATGCCAAGCAGGGTCCAAACAACAGGAACATAAAGCCCTTCCCTTCTCCCCAACCTCACCAGCCTTTACCATGGCTGGCTTCCCAGTGATTCACTCAAGGCAACACGCCATTGGAAAAAAAAAAAAAATACCCACACATGTTCAAACACTCTCACATACACATGTATAGAAACAAAGATGTTTGTTTAGTTCAAGTAGAGATTATTCAACCACAGAATCACTAAGCTAATTTAAGTGATTTAAGCATGGCTGATAGAGACTAGAAATGCTAAAAAGCAACCAGTGAGCAGGTATTAACTCCCTGATTTGATGGTACATATTTCCCCATTGGAACTGGAAGAAATTGTTGGTTTTTTGTGGGGGTTTTTTGTCTAAAGAACCAATCATAATCTACTCATTTTTTAAAATCAATTCATTTCTTTTAGTTTTACTATAAAACTAAGACAATCAATCCATGCAAAGTAACTGTGATATGATATGGAACAAAATCATAAACAACAACTAATAAAACCCCTAAGAGGCAGGCTGCATTTCAAAGACAGTGACCAAATGTCATGCAATCTCAGAAACACAGGACAACAGACACAGCAGGCCACGTAGCAATACGTGTGGCTCTATCCTGTCAGTGCTTCCTAAGTGGAGAGAGAATGAGTGGGGAAACTTGCTTTATAAACAATGCCCTGCCATTTGTTGTCCAAATGAACTGATTCAAATTCCAGAAAAAATCCTATTTAGCTAATAAGTCTCAATCAGCAGGAATGCTAAGACAGAGAAATACACTCACATGGTATGAGGAGTGATGACAATGAGAACAACACAATCCCTCTGATTGTCTTGACTGTAAACTCTTATCAAGAAAAATAATTCTGTGCTTTCAGACACCCCATTTCTCCTTAATGAACCCAATTAGAACTGAGCGTTCACAAAAGGTAGCAATAAATATTAAAATAACACTTTTGAATAAATAAGTGGAGACATCGATTTGTTTAAAGAGCCAAGCAATGTCCAGCTTCTAATCAATCAAATAAATTTTAAAGCTGTTATAATGCAGACTTAGGAAAACAGACATTGACAAGGTACAACATAAACTCTACAATCCCCAAGCATCAAAACAAATTTGGTCAGTTCTTTATGCTGCTCAGGAAGAACTTGCCCCTTTGGACTGTTCGGAGCGTATCAAACTCTGGGTTCTTTGACTTACTGGGTAGGACTCAATACCCACATTTCTGAAAAGATTAAATAAGGGGAACTGGGCTTTGAAAAATACTATTTCCTTTCAGTTGCCCACATCAGTTAAAAGCATCCTGCAGAAAATAGCCTAACCAGGAATAAAAACTCACAGTAACTTTCTTTTCAAGATCTAATAATCCAATTAGAAAATTGAAGCCTTTCAGTAAATTTTGTACATATATTTACACATATGTATCTATAAACTGCTTGCAGCAAAATAGGCTCTGTCTGAAAAATCAGTCTGGCACTTGTGGTCAACATCAAATTGACACAAATATGCAAAAGCTGTTTAAATCACACAACAGTTAGGAGCTACATAGGGGAGCTGGGAGGGAGACAGACATGTAGTATTTGTTTGGGTCAGATAAAAGCAAAGTTATCCAGCTAAAATCTTTTTGATTGTCTTCAAAAGAAATTTTGCTAACATTGTAAAGTGATTAGCAACTTTGTTTTCTCAACTGGATTCTCTTAAACCTTTCCCTTCACTGGACAGAAAGGCGGCGCTGGGGTCTGTGCCTTGCAGAAACAAGCTCTACACAATTGAATCCCAATCAAAGTCATCCTGGATGTCATCTGGAGGCAAAGAGCGCCGCATCTGGAAGGCTGGGGAAGGCATCATGTGCTGCTGGTTCATGGCTCCGTGGTGGCCTGGAAGGAAACAGGCAGTGTCAGTAGTGACACAGCAGAGACGAAAGGAAGTCAATTTCTGTGCCACCAAACAGCTGGTGAACAGAGACGACATGCACAGAGCTGGGCGCAGTACGCTGTGGAGGACGCAGCAGATGCACATGCCTACGCTCCCCACGCTCCTCTCGGACCAGTATGGCATGCGCTTTGTGCTCCCCAATTTTGGTGCACTCTGCGCTCATCTCCATAGCTTTGACAAACCCCTTCCAAACCAGGTTTTATTTTTTTAATGATCTTTATTTACTTGTAGAATTTACTCCTTTATTAGGAATTAAGTATGTCCTTAACCACTGTGGAATTTTTATTGATGACAGTTTTTGTGAGTGCTCTGAATACAAAGTTTCAAGAACTCTGCCGCTGATCTTGATCTTATTTGTCTTATAAGCCCTGTAACTTTTCATGTACGATTTTACAAAATGCTAAGGTTTTCAGTATCTCACAGGATGGCAGAAATGCCTGTATTTTTAATGTATAAATTCCTTACTATCTGCTGGGCACTAATATAAGTGATTCACATACAATCTTCATTTAACTCTCTTAACAACGCTAGGGGTTAGGTAGTATTTTCAGGCCCCTTTTGCAGACAGGGAAGCTGAGACAAGAGAGTTAGGCAGCTGTCAAGTGTCAAAGCATCAGGACTCAAACCCTGGGAATCTAGCTCCTAAGTCTCAACTACCTTGTCTTACCACCTACAAGTTACTGGTGAGCACTGAGGACAGAGAATACATGTCACTTGGCCCCAACTCCTCCTTCACTTCTGCCTGGCACACAGTCCTTTTGGGGTTTTAAACCCACTCCTCCACATTATTGTTTGTCTTTACCTTAAGTAGCCTAAGTAAAGGATGGCGTGGCATACGAGAAAAATCATGAACTCTGAAACCAGACATCAAAGCTCAAGTCTTGGTTTGGCCATTTAACAAACTGGTGGCTCTGGGCAAGTTACCTCCCCTTCTGAGCCTCCATTTCCTCGTCTAGATAACCCTTAAGACCCCTTTCACCTCTAACAATGTGCCTCTACTGCCCTGCTAAACGTTAACAATCTACATTTAGGAACCTAGCGCAGAAAACTCATGAACTAGTAATTCCTGAAACTTACGCCTGCTATAAGGCACTTCTACCTGGAAGCTACAGCTGGGGGAGCTTTATTAGAATGAGTACATAGGAGCTAATCAAAGCAGGTTCCTGAAACCTGCTGAAGTCTGTCCAAGTCAAATAGCCTCAAAGATACCTAAGAACCCAGAACACGCTCTATGCCCTCAACAATACCTAGAATCACAGACAGCATCATGGCTAAAAGAAACTTCAAGTCATACAGTCCAAACACCAAATGATACTTAAATCTCTTCACCAGCACTGGAACCAAGTAGCTCTCCAGAATTTTGCACCCCACCCACCTTAACAGAGAGTTCGCTCCCTCCTGAGGCAGCCTCATTCACTGTTAGGACAGCTAAAGCTTTTCAATATTAAACTCTGAGTATTAACTGCAACACACCACACCCCAAAGTACCTGTAATCGTTGTTCCTGGAGTGCTGAGTGCCTGTGGGATATGAGGATAACCAGGAGGTGGCATCACTGAAGGAGGGAGATTTTGCCTGGAGTCTATGTACAAATTTCCTAATCAGATTAAAACACAGAAAGAAGAAAAACATATTACCATAAGTAAAACAAATCAAGCATTAAATATTAATAGAATTATTACCTAAAACTAAATTAAGCAGGTAAGGTGAGGGAAAAAGGGAAGGAAAACTTACTCCTTTCAGATGCTAACTGCCAACGTGGTGCTGGCATTTTGAACACAATCCCAGGTTGGGTGTGAGTCCACTGGTACTAATTCTGGCACTGCCTCTAATTCTCTGTCAGCTTGCAGGCAAGTTATGTCTATTATTGTTGTTACACACGCATTACAGTGCAAAAGTATTTTCATCACTTCATTTGAGCCTCCCGCTAAGCCCACATGAGGGCAAGACAGGGATTATCCCTATTTTATGGATGAGACAACTGAGACTCACAAAGGCTAAGCTGACTTGCCCAAAGAGACATCAGTCTGACAGGGCTACAGCTAGAATCCAGTTCTCCTAACTCATGGACTCTTTCTACCAACAGTTGTTTCTATATTGCCCGGATTTTCTCACCCTCAAAGCAGACCTATGTGTGCCCTACCTGCTTAACAAAGTGACTGGAGGCACAAAGTTACAGGAGAGATTTGCACAAGGTAAAAGAGCTATACTAGGCAAATGTGATTAAAAATGTATTAGTTAAAAGTGTGGAGATGGGAAACATAGATCTCATTTAAGCAGCACTTCAGAAGGTTCTTAATATATTTTTCTTGACAGGAGCCATCAAGGGTAATAGCTCTAAAATGTCAATTATGTTGCATCCTAATGCAAAATAGAAAGGAAGGGGAATGAACGTCATGTGCCCTCCCCCAGTAACTCCTAGGGAAGAAAAACCATAATACTGCTCACACTGTGCAAAGCATCTGGAATTCCAGAAAAGGGGTTTCCCTAATGTATTCTAGTGTTTCACACAAATTACATGTGCATTCTTGCAATGCTTTAGTCAACTAGAAAAGAGCAACGGTTTCCCAGAGGAAACTAAAAAGAGAAGAAAAATCTTCCTTTTATATTCAAGGTAGGGCACACTATTTGGCCGCTCACAAGTTTGTGCCTACCCCTGGCAAGTCAGGCTGCCCACGCTTGAAGTGGCAGCCTCAGAGACAATCTAATCCAGCCCTATTTCTGTTCATGTGGCTGCGGAAAGGAGACCAGAAGAAAATGAAACAACCAGAAACAGAACACAAGACGACTTCTAGCCAATGCCTCCTAAGATGACGCTCTTTCATAGTAAAGTTTAGTCAGAGCTGAGATCTCTGACCAATTTACCATACTGAAGATTTAGGAAGAAAAAAGAGGAGAAAGTTATGCTATGTTATAGCGCTAGTAAATTCTTATGGGGAGCTGATCAGCCTTCACACGCACGGCGGGTGCACCTTCTAAAGGGCGCACCAGGCTGCCAGGCTGGAGGAGCCACGCCACTCTGAGTAACATGGTCACTCACTTTCCAACGACTTCTCAGCCTCTGCCCTGAAAAATCTTAGCTCTCTTTTACTCATCTTTAGGAGCTCAAATCACAATCAAGAGACAAAATGTGATTTTTATTTTTAAGATGAATCTATTTTTATTTTCATTTCTCTTTTTTGGCTTAGTAATTCTTACCTTCAAACAGGAAAGGGGGTAGGAATTAGAGAATTACGGGACTAAACAAGGATTACGTGAATAAATAGATACCCACATTAAACAAATAGCCTTAACTTTTGAAATTGTCACATTCCTAACACTTTAACTTTCAGTGAGAAATTTTCATTACTACTCGATTTTTTCCCTGTGTTCTTATTACAGTCTGAACAATGAGAGTCTACCTAAACTTTCTAAGCAAGAAATTAACTTCCAATGCAGTTTCCAGAGATTTTTGAGATCCTATAACATTTAGAATATACTTATGAGAATTTAAAAATCTAATCACAAAATATACTTCTTTATTGAAAGCAGACATCCGTTGAATGACCAGAAATTCTAGAAATATTATGCGCCAGGCCCTGCTCTAGCCAACAGGGATAGAGAAATGAAAAAAAACTCTCCATCTTTTTGGAGCTTATTCTTGGGTGGAGGGGGAGGCAAATTAAATAGTATGTTACACATGCTATGGAGAGAAATAAAGCAGGGAGAGGGGACAAGGGCTGCTGGGCAGTAGGTGTCATTTAAATAGGATGGTCAGGGAAGATATCACGAGTAGATATTTTTTGAGAAAAAACTTGAATAAGATGAAGACATGACTCCTGGGTCTACTGGGGCAAGACCACTCCAGACAGAGAAAAGAGCAAGTACAAAGGCCCTAAGGAAGGTGAAGTGTGCATGGTATGTTGAGAGAGAGAGAGAGAAAGAGAGAGAGAGAGAGAGGAAGAGAGGAAGAGAGAGAGAGAGAGGGGGGAAGAGAGGAAGAGAGAGAGGGGGGGAAGAGAGGAAGAGAGAGAGAGAGAGGGGAAGAGAGGAAGAGAGAGAGAGAGAGAGAGAGAAGGAGTGTGAGTATGTGTGTGTGGTCAGAGAGTAACTCAGAGAGTAATAAGGACTTTGGTTTTTACTAAGAAAAATGGGCACCAATGAGGGTTTTGAGCAGAGATGATAAGTGATCAGACTTTTGTCTGGTAAAATCCAACTTATCCTGCAAAGTCCAGCTTAAATATGTCTTCTGTTAAGCTCTTCTATCTGCCCAAGACAGTTTAGCAAGACCGTTGTCTTACTCCCACAGCCCTGTGGTAGAAATGTAGTCCTCATCGGACTGTATTTCTTCACAGACCTGTCTCACCTATCGGGCTGTGAGCTCCTTGAGATTAAGGGCTATTTTAACGTCACCTCTTTCTTCCTAGTGCCCAATACATAGTCAGGTACAGAAAAAGTATAAATAAAAAAATATTAGCAAAATGGATTCAATACCACATTAGATGATCTTATACCATGACCAACTGAGATTTATTCCTGGAATGCAAGGATGATTCAACATATGAAAATCAATCAGTGTAGTACAGCACATTCATAGAACTAAGAGTTTAAACACATGACCATCTCAACTGATGCAGAAAAAGTACCTGATAAAAGTCAATACCCTTTCATGATAAAAACACTGAGAAAAGTACAAACTGAAGGAAATTACTTCAACATAATAAAAGCCACATATAAAAATCCCACAGTGAACATCATATTCAATGGTGAAAATACCAAAAGCTTTTCCTCTAAGATCAGGAACAAAGCAATGACCTACTTCTGGGTATATATCCAAAAGAAATGAAAGCAGTGTCTTAAAAAGATATTTGTAGACCCATGTGTTATTATTCACAATAGCTAACACGAGGGAGCAACCCAACTGTTCACTAATAGATGAACAGATAAGAGCAAAATGTTGTATATACATACAATGGAATATTATTTAGTCCTAAAAAGGAAGGAAATTCTAACACATGCTACAATATGGATGAACTTGAAATAAGCCAGTCACAAAAAGACAAATACTGTATGATTCCACTCATATGAGGTACTTAGAGTAATCAAAAATCAGAGCACGGCCGGGCGTGGCTCGGCGGTTGAGTGTCGACATGGGATCCAGGCGATCAGGGTTCAACTACCCGGTCAGGGCATATGCCTGGGTTGTGGGCTTGATCAATGACTCTCTCATCATTGATGTTTCCATCTCTCTCTCTCCCTCTCCTTTACTTTCTCTGAAATCAATAAAGATGTATTTAAAAAAAAACACAAAAATCAGAGACAGAAAGTAGAATGGTGGTTGCCAGGGGCTTGGCAGTAGATAGAATGGGGACAGTGGTGGTGGGTATTGTTTAACGAGTATAGAGGATCTACTTTATAAGATGGTAAGAGTTATGATGATGAGTGGTGGTGATGGTTACATAACATGAATATATTTAATATTGATGAACTATATACTTAAGGATGATTAGGATGGTAAATTTTATGTTATGGGTATTTTACCACAATAAAAATTTTTTTAAAATATATATTAAGAAGGTATCAAGAAAGAAATGACAAAAGGAGGAGGGGAGCTAAAGAGTTATCAAAAAATGAAGTTAGTGCCTGGCACAGAGAGTAAATTTAGCTAATACTAAGAATGTCCTACATGGCAGGCACTGAACAAGGCCCTTAAATGGTATAATTTATAGAATAAGTTACCAAAATCAAACAGCCACTGAGAGTTTCACGTTAAGTAAGCTACTCAAAATGGAAGCATCAAAGATGACAGAAGATTTCTATTGTATCAAAAGACACAAAAATAACATACAGAAAAGAAGTCAACATGGGGATAAAAGGAGGCAAGAAACTAAAATGCAGAGAGAAAGAACTTGGATATTAAATGTCTACAGAAAGAAACTTGAGAAAATAAAATTGTAGGCACTAATACCAGAGTAAAGGAGATGGCTACAAGAATAAAGGATAAAGGAAGAAAATGCGATGGGAGCTACAGCGCGCCAATTGTGAGTGCAGAGTAAAACATAACATTATGTCTACTCTTCAAGTAAACTTTCACTTTTTCTTTAACTTTCTTAGAAGATATGCAAAATAAGATTTTCATTGAAAATATATACAAATTTAAGTTGATCTATCTTCATAACTATGTTCTTATAAAAATGTACGTATCTTGAAGACCTTTAATTCTTGTTTGACAACTTAAAAGGTCACAAAGTTTACAACAGACTTTGTAAACAGTAGTCATATAAATCATGACCAAAAAATAATATCTTAATTTTTCTAAGATATACCTTAAATACATAATTTGATTTCATTCCTTTTCATTCATTTCTTAGAAATTAAAAATATAAATGGATAACTGTCACCATTAGCAATGTACAAAGCTGCCTCAGAGAGTCACTAAATTTCATATGAATGAGAAAAAGAGAAAATCAAGACAACTAAACCCATACCTGTTCCAATGTGCTGGGAGGGTTTTGTTGGATGCATGGCACTATGACAGACATTTTGCTGAACATTACTCTGTGAGTGGATAAGGCCAGTTTGTGTAAAGAACTGATTAAGAGAAGAACAGAGATCAGCAAATTGAACCTGATCTAAAGACCAATTCTTGAGGTCTGCCTGTCTCATACTCTCCATCAAACCTATGAGAAAAACATGAGAAAGACAGTTAGCACAGTTCTGTAAATATTGCAAGGAAAATAGCAAGACAATTGTTTTTTCAGCCCTCAAAATTTCCACTGGTAGTGATTTGCCCATGAAATGAAGAACAACATAAAATTATTCAAAATCTGATTCTTTTAAATGTGGCCAAATTGTCTTCAGAACTCTTGTTGTGACCCTCTGCTTCAACTGGCCAAAAGACTTAATTATAAATTTTGCAAAAATGTGTTTTTAAGCATACTACCAACAGCAAATAAAACACTATATAAGGAGATGTTTATTTCTATTATAAAAAAATAAACTAGAGAAAATTCTATTATAAAGAAAATCTACCAGAGAAAACTGGATATGTATTTGGTTACATGTCAGAAAGAACCAATACTCACCTTGGAACTGTGAAAGGTCCACATCTGACCAATTAACACTGCTAGCAATTCGACAGCTTTCTTTTAGCATATCAAGTGTTGCATACCAATCATTTGAAACACCTATAAAGATAATATTGACAACACTATAAGTCTTGGATGGTGAAAGTCTGAAGTACACCATAAGGGAAGACAGTGAGCTGAACTTATTCCTGACAGTGGCAGGTCCCTATCCAGTTTTACAAACAGATTCACACCCATGTGCATCATGTGTTGGGGCCATCTGCTCTGTGAGACAGATAGGAAGACTATTATTTCTCTCCATTTACAAATGGGAAAAACAAAAGCTCAACCCAGAGCAGTCAAGGTCACTATAATGAATCTAAGACTTGAACCCAGGGCTTCTAAGCTCTAGTTGGGAACTTGAAAATTGTCAAACTTGGTAACTGCTCTTTACATTTATACAGTACAAATGAAGACCAAGCAGGACAAGTTATACAAATCAGTATTTCCCCCCATATAAAGTTCATTTTCCAGTCTTGTTGTGACCTTCAGAGGCACGTTCTTTATAACTTTGAACCAGGTACACATTTAGAAGCAATGTGTAATATGACTTAAAGCACTGACTTAAGGGAGGTAAATCAGATTGTACAGCAAGAGGTGTTTCTTACAAAGCAACCTTAAGAGTGAGAAATGTCTCAACAGGCCATTAAGGGCATATCATGGGTTGTTTTCACTTGTAATTATACTATTTTCTCCCCTGGCAATCATTAAACTTAAATAGAAAGGTATGACCAGAGCATCACAGCCTTCTACTGATACCCAGTCTCTACGATCATTAGTGAATCCTCAAAAGCATATTAAAAACAAGCTTACATTTCTGAAGGATGTATAGAATTAAAAAGTAGGCAACAGTGACTAAAAGTTACAAAAGGGGGCTATATATACACCTTTTCTTCTAGGCATAGATCTAAAAATAACTTCAAGATATTTTAGGAGACAGCCCATCAAGGCAGGAACTATATCCAATTTTCCATTTTATTCTAGATTTTATTCTACTTAGAATCAGTAATAGAAAACAAAATAAATTGTTAAAAGAAACTCACAAAGTTCCAAGTACTCTGGTATGCATTTTTGTACCTTATCTCATTTAATACCCCCAAAAACATATTTTTTTCCACTTTATAAATAAGGAGACAGTTTTAGAAAAATTTAAGATTTAAAGCAAAATCAGAATATAAGAGACAGTATACATTACCTAAAGCTCATTTCTCTGACAATAGTTTAACTGCCTGAAACAATAGTCAATTTTTAATTGGTGAATAAAAACTAGCACTGTCTAGCACTTAGCAATTGTCCCTCCAGGATAAAAATCTTATCAGTGATATAGCTGGTAAGTGGACAGCCAGCCTGTACTTTGCACAACTCCCAGGGGCCCCATTCACCTTGTCTATGTCTGTGATACCCCTTAGAGCTCAGCAGTGCAAAGACTGCTTGGTCTGTAAGCAATGTCATGTCAGTTAAGCATCCACCAGAAACCATCAAGACCTATCTGAAGAGCAATATTTTCAAAATATCAGGATATGAAAAATGCTTTCTTCCTTTGCAATATATCATTCTAAAATGAGATACCTGACAAAAATTAAGCAAAAAAAAGGAAGAGTGGAGACATTCACTGAGTACTTAAATACAAGGTACTAAACTAGGCATTTCATATTTGTCTTCTCGATATGACACTGATAACAACACTGTGAGCGAGTGTATTTTACTTTCATTTTTACAGATGAGAAAATAAGACTAAAAGAAGTTAAGAAATGCAACAAAAGTCTTAAGAGCCATGAGGATTCAAATCTCTGCTCTTTCTTCTAATACCACTGAATCATAACAGACTGCAGACAGACAAGACTGCATTCCATTCTTCTTTCAAATACAGCTGGTCCTTGAAGAACACAGGTCTGAACCGTGTGGGTCCACACGCATGCTGATTATTTTCAAGAAATACACAGTCGATAGTATTTTTGATCCCTAGTTGGGAACCCACAGATGTGGAGGGCCAACTGCATGCACTGATCTATACCATTTTTTGTAAGGGGCTTAAAGCATCCATGGATTTTGGTATCTGAGGGGGGTCCTGGAATCAATCCCCCATGGATACTGAGGGATGACTGGAAAGTCAAAAGTCATACACAGATTTTCAACTGGTTAGAGCTTCTAACCACTGCATTGTAAAAGGGTCAACTATACTCACGAAAACACTTATTTTCCAAAAGGACAAAACAAGAGATAAAACTATAAAACCTACAAGGGTTGCTGAGTTTGCCTATATTGTCACAATACATTTTAGTCAAGAAAATCTCCAGATCAATCTATGGATTCAATGAGTTACAATTACAGGATTAGAGCAAGGAAACACAAAATGAGACAAATAAAAAGAGAGTTGGTAGTAAATACAAAGGACAGATCCTAATTCACAGTTAGCCAAACACAGACAGGAGACAAAAACTTACCAGAGTTACAGGATACCTGCTGTGGGGGTGGGGGGGCCTGATGTGTTAACGTCTGATGCTGATGATTCGAATGATGCTGCATGTGTTGGTGTGGAGAGGGGTGCTGGGGATGAGGGGACTGGAGCTGGCTGTGTTGCTGCGGGTGCGGTGCGGGATGCTGAGGACGCTGCGGATGCTGTGGTAAACCATGTGGTCGATGGGGCGGATGTGGAGACGGCTGTGTGTGTATCTGGGGGTGGGACAGCGAGACCTGTGCAACTGAATTACTGCCTGTGGTGTTGAGGCCACTGCCGTGACTGTTGGACAGGCTGCTTTGGTTGCCATGTGGGTGAGAGCTCACTGTACTGCTAGGAGAGTGCTGATAGGAACACGAAGTATGGGACTGCTGGGAAGATTCAGAAGGGATGTTCATCAAACCTAAAAACAGTCAGAAAAAGCAAGATCACTTGTGATCAGATTGCAGTTATACTTTATGACAAATGTTTGCAACATTACTTAGAGAACAAAGGTATAGGCTGTCAAAAGGCAACTTTGGTTCAGTTTAACAAGTGCTGATGACTTTGGAAGCCAATAAAAGCCCCCTGCAGGGGGGGAAAAACAAGTGTTGATGGAACATCCACCATACACTGGACTCTGTAACTAAGAAGAATAAGAAACATCATTCCCTACCCTCAGTAGCTTATGGTATAGTGGAAGTGAGACGCTTAAAGAGATTATGTGCAATGACATTAAATACTTAGGCAAAAGTGTACAGCAAGGATATAGAAACTTTGCTTCTTGCCTGTACAGATAGGAAGGAGCTAGAGATACAGAGAAGCCTCCCCTGAAAAGGCAGTAGCTGAGCTGAGTCTTAAGGCATGAGTAAAGACTAAGCAAAATAAAACAGCCATGTCCACTATTCTTTTTCATTACTCTTACGGAACATTCCTGAGACACAGTTTAGGGGTTAAGACTGCATACTTTATAGCACCAGAAAGTAGGGATTAAAGTCCCTGCACTTGGAACCTCTGAAAAGTTACTAACCTCTCTAAGCCACAATTGCCTCAACTGTAAATGGGTATGGTAATAGTATCTGCTTCATAGAGTTGTGAGGATACGATGCTATGATGCAAGTGCAGGCTGCAGGACGAGCTCAGTAAATGCTAGTCGTTATGATGATGATGATGATGATGCCAGAGTGCCTAATGTTAAACATAATGTATGTTTGGTTTGCAGGTACAACTAATTGTAATAAATCTATTGCAACATTTGATTCTATAACTAGGTTATTTTCATATACTAAAGGATGGCTCATACCATGTTTTGCTGAACCAAACACGAAAAATGTTACTAAATGAAAAACAGAATCCTGTGGCACTGTGTCAGTTAATAAAAGAAACAAACTTTTTAAACAAAATAAAATTATTCTCATACTTAATAGTAAATAGTATTAATAGTAAAACTGTATTAGAGTACAATGTAAGATAATCTTAAAACTTAGTATGTTAAGGTTTTATATGTACAAGAGTTAATAAAAGTTGTTGCCTTGGCCCTGGAAAACTGTCATTTATAGGGAATCTACAGTTATTACAGTAAGTGAAAGAAAGCAGTTATTTCATTTTCTATTTCCAATAAAGTCCTAGCATTTTAAGTGGGAATCCAGATATGATCCATACCAACATTTTCAATCCCAAATTATTTTTAAATAAAATGAAATAAAGTATCTTTCAAAAGCCCAATATGTGAAACTGATAAATGTAAAGTTTCCTTTTTTGAAGTCAGGGACTGAAGCCTGCTAGGTCTCCCTCTTCATCTGTATACTTCAGTTACCCAAGACCTTAGCAAATGCCAAGGACACCAAAGAAAACAATTTGAAAACCAATGATCTAATCTAATCTTCTTTGTTGTACAGATGGGGATGCTGAGTTCTAGAGAGGTGACGTAAACTCAGTTGACTTTATGGTAGAACGAGGACTAGAACCCAGAATTCCTATGAATGCTCTGTTTGTTTGTTTGATGAAATAGCATATGGGCTTCAGAAATCGTCACCATTGTTATTTCAAAGTCAGTAATTTTCTATTATGATCACCAAGGTTGGTTCTGTTTAGCAAAGTCTTATATTAGTTCTTTCTATAGATAGAAAATTTAAGATAAAATTTGAAAGAATACATGAATTTTCCTTTAAACAGAAAAACTAATTTCCTATACAAGCTACTGATATTCATTGATATATGTAATAATTATTCATAACATTAACTTTCACCATAATATCTGACAATCAAATGTATTAAAATGTAAACTCTATAAAGACAGGGATTTTTGTCTAAAATACTATGTTCACTGCTGTAAATAGGTAAACTCTCTGAGTTGAGGTATAAATAGTTAATCTTTCAAACAAAGACACTAGTAAATGCTTCAACACTAGAGTTCCCAACAATGTGTGACTAGTGTTCTTTGGAGAAAAAAGACAATGTGACATGTTCATCCTATCCCATGACTCTGACTAAAATTAAACCAACAGCTAACTATACAGTAACACAAAATAGCAACTTAAGTAGCATTTGGTTGATATAATACTGCATCTCAACCCAAATCACTTTCAGCATTAAAATCTAATTTAATTGTGTTGTATAAAATAAGGACCCAGAGCATACCACTAACCAATGTGCTTACTATAAGTGCCATACATGAAGGTACAAATTTGGTGCAACCATATTCCAAAAGCTCTCTCTTTACTAACACCAGTCAGAACAGAAAAGCAAGGTACATCTACTCTGTGGTGCAACATCTACCACTACATTGCTTCACATGAAAGACATCATCACTTGGCAAGATGCAGTACCAGCATTCTTCAACACAGCTCTACGAATGACATCACTAGATCAAGTAAAGTAGGCAGGCAAGGTGAAATTTACCCGCCATTCTTGTGCTACAATACAAATATATGCAGAGCATAGTAAAGGCGCACAGAGCGTTCAATTCTAATCATGATAATGTTCTAAGATCAAGGAAATATAACAGCTGCTAAGTGAAAACAATTCTTAAGAGAACATTTTACAATAAAAATTTACAAGTATTTAAAAAAAAACACAACTCACCTTGTTGACTAAGTGACTGCTCAAAAACTGACTTATAAAGGCTCCGAAATGAGGCACTGAGATCTTCAAAATTATATTCTGAGAAAAGTAGTTGTTTATCTCGTTCTGGAAGGTTGTACTGTGGCTGCTGTTGAGGAGTTAATGACTGAGAGACTGGTTCTGGATGGTTTGTTACCTAACATCAAAAGAAAATACTACTAATTTAGTAGCTCTATATCAGAATTGATTTGTTACATAAAATATATCACTGGAAATATTAAAATAGTTTCTAGAATCCAAAGGAACTATTTACTTCTTTCTGTGGCTTTCCCATCCTCTGTTTAAGCTGGGGGTGTACATAAAAAGTACAGACCACAAAATTGTTAACTTGGATCTTGAAGAACCACAAAAATATAATCCAACCTCCCTCCATATTTCACAGAAGACAAGAAAGAGTTCAAAGAAGGTAAACAACCTTCCCAAGAGCATACAAATAAGTGATGAGCTAAGCCTAGCCAGTCTCTGTAGAATCTTCATCTTGATTTCTACATTAGCAATTTCACCTCAAACGCCACTATATTATGAAACTACTAACATTTCTTATTCATTTATTCAATTAATCTTTAAATACTTAAATTTGAATTCTGTGAGTACTGTGATCAGTTTTTGTGGCACTGCCCAAAGCAGCAAGGAACTTCAATACACCTAACTCATCATTTTTAGGGGAATTTTTTTTTTCCCTAAATGAAATAAAACTGAACGGAAATGAGAAATGAAGGGTAAAAGACAAAGGAGATTCTGACAATAACAGAATACAGGGTGTGGCAAAAGTAGGTTTACAGTTGTTCGTATGGAAAATACAATAATTAATAAATAATAATATAAGAATAAACTTTCATGTATTCACAACTGTAAACCTACTTTTGCCCCACACTGTAGATCAACGGCTTGAGCTATGCAGGAGAGGGAAAAGCACCAGAAACATTTACAAAGTAAGAATTATCTTTAAAAGAGCACAACTAGAAAAGAAAAAAAATTAAAAGGTCAGCTGTATCTCTTAAAGACTATCAACAGGTCACAGACTACCATTTGTTTAGTGAACACTGTGATTATCCTGAAACATGGGATGATGACCGGTCTTACGAGGAACAAATTCTCATCAACCATCCTACTTTTAAGGAGGCAGCCATGGGGCAGTTTCTTGTCGACTTCTCCATCTTGCAGCAAGGTGCTCAGAGACAGTTTCTCAACTGTCTCCCTGTTTCCACTGAGGCCAGGGACTATCTACTTTATTCCCGTAGGAGGGGTGGGGAACCTTTTACCTGCCAAGGGTCATTTTGATATTTATATCATCATTCTCGGGCCACACAAAATTATCAACTTAAAAATTAGCCATGAAAAAGCCTCCAAGATTTATTGAATTTTGAGCCCCACCTGCGGTTGCCTTGGCAGGACCAGACCAAATGATTTCACCGGGCGTATAAGGCCCTCCGGCTGGATGTTCCCCACCCCTGCCGCAGGGTATAGCTACAAGTTATACATTGCATAGCTGCAGTACAGAATTTGTTCTTCCACTTATAGTGACCCACCACAAATGTAGTCTGTCATCTGGCTTCTCTGATGTAGGGTTGTCCTATGGGATGTGATACCATACTGATGTGGCTTACTCTGTCTGTATAAGGAATAAAACTGTCTCAATGCATCTGGGCTCACTGTTTCCTTATAGGCCCAATCCACAGACATGTGATAAGCCCAACCAGCAGCTGAAATTGTACTGCTGTTTAAGGAGTGCTTGATGACCAGCTTGATATCTTGTTGTTAAATGAAAAAAGACAGTCTACAATGTCTAGCTTTTTTTTTTTTTAACTTTTTATTGATTTGAGAGAGAAGAAGAGGGAGGGAGGGATAGAACCATCAATGATGAGACAGAATCACTGATCAGCTGCCTCCAGCACACCCCTGGGGATTGAGCCCGCAACCCAGTCATGTGCCCTGACCAGGTAACAAACCATGATCAGGTTTATGGGTCAACACTCAACCACTGACCCACACCCACACCGGCTGGGCTATAATGTCTAACTTTTAACAGAGGAGTTTAACCTTCTTATGTGTACTAGCACAACAGACATGTTTGTTCTTACTTCTGCCACCTAGTTCTATAAATGTTTTTAAAATGTTTCGTCTTATTGTATTTTGTGATATAATATTGGGACTCTGTGCTCTTTAATTTCTTTTGGTTTCAAGATTTTCTACATTCAAATTATTTTCAAAGCTACTTAAAATCATTAAATCTTTGCACAGTTTGTTTCGATGCTCCAAATAGTCATTTAATATCATGATTTTCGCATTACTGAGTGCTTTAATTTAATTCACCTCTTGATCAGGTATGAAAATTTTTTTTCAGTAAGGGCACATGAAAACAAGGGTAGAATGCTTTATAAGCTCTCTATAATGTCTTTCTTTTGGCTTCATACATGAATGAGAATTTGGATGGGCATAGTATTTATAATGCTAAACCTATTCCCTAAAATTCTGCATAAAGTATTCCATTATCTTCTGGCATTTAGTATTATAGAAGATAAGTATGATTTGTGTTTCTCTGAATGTCTCTCATTTCTTCTCCCAGAGTATTTACATGAATGATTACTTCTGAAACTTTACAATCTGACATGATGTGTTTAGATATAGGCTTTTTTCCCCATTACCTTTTCCAAGAACTCAGAAGCTCTTTTCATCTCTATTCTTCTGAAGACTGCTTCTGTACAACTCTTCTAGTTTCTTCTTCAGGGACACCTATAATTCTCAGTTCTCCCTATCTATTCTCTTCTTTTACATAATTGTTATTTCTTTAACTGTTTCTTCTGCATTTTGGGAGGATACTATTCCATTTTCCCCAGAGCATTGATAACAGTTTTGCAGAATCATGTTTCTTTTTTCCTACATTCAATGGACATTTTACTTCTGCTCTGAGTTTTTATTTCCCTTGTGTTATTTTCTTGTTTCAGTACCCCCACCACCCACTTTATATCTTTGTCCTGTATAAGTTTTTAAGTATTTACTCATCCTCATGTGAGGATGATCTGGTGACATCAAATTTATACCAATAACAGTGTGATTTGGCTCTTGGGCTCTGTACTGTCTACTGGGGAGGATAGTTGGCAGATGATTCGAAAAGAAGTATCAGATAACCCAAGGGCCATGTTCTTGTAATAGGTAACCAAATCAGCTCAGAAGCAAGAATACTCACACAGGCCCCTTTATCCCATAACTCTGTTTTCTAGACAAAAATTGAAACTACAAAACTGGTTAACAATTTGGTACCAGGTCATCCTAACTTCTGAGGTTTATAGAATCTCCTTCTCAGATCTATAGCTGGAAAATGAGGTGATATACACATACATCCTCTAGGCTCTTTTACCAAGGACTGTAAAATATCATCAAATCTAGCTTTGCTAGACTGAGGTATAATCTTTCTCCTATACCGACTGATCATCACTTGGACACAGAACACATGGAGTAAAGCAAACCAAAATATATAGTACACAACCACATATTTGTATTTAACTTGGTAAAATGTAAGTACAATTAATACACTAGCAGGTAGAAATCTGCTCTACTTATCTAAGCTAATGAACTGATTAGTGAGAAGTACACATCTTCACTTTTTATTGGCATTTCAATTTGTTTGGTTTAGTGTTAAGCATTAAACGAGTACTCAACAAGAAGTTGACTTCATCAAGACTTACCGGTGTATAACTATGCACACTTCCAACACTGTTTAAATTAACAGATGCCAAACTCTGGTCTGAGAGACTGTTGTTAAGGCTACTGCGTGGGCTATCACTACCATCCTGATCAGTGTTGTACAATGTTACCTAGATTGAAAAGGAAACCAACATTTGAATAAGTAGTTCCTACTATAAAGAGTACTTTGTAAGCAACTCTACAAAAGTACAACTAGCTGGGTATGGCAGGAAAACAAAATGTCAGTGGCCTTTCCTTTGGTGCCTACCTACCCCAATTCCAAAGCCTTCACTAACTCCATGTTCACTACGAAATAATTTACTCTCAAACCACAGGACACATCCTATCCAAAGATACTATCAGGTATATTCAAGATACTATCAGGTATATTCAATTTACTATCAGGTATAATTAGTTCATCAGCATTTGATAAGGGGATTACAGTAGACTTTAAGTATTTCTACAATGCATAAATTTATTTTTATTCAAGCTTTAAGCAAAACTGCTGTTCTCTATCAAAATCTTAGGCCTCAAAAAAGAACACAAAAAACAGAATTTAAAAAAATCATAGGTATCAATGTTATAATACTGAGAATCATAAACTCAACTATCCAACACATTTGCAAAATCAGATACGTGGCCTAATTTTTAAAACAACAATATGCTAATATTGTTAGGGCAGGCAAAAGTAGGTTTACAGTTGTTCAGATGAAAAATACTACAGTAATTAATAATAATACAAGAATGAACTCTGTCACATTACTCACACCTGTAATTCTACTTTTGCCCCACCTTGTATAAGCATTAGACATGAAAGGCTATATATCACACTGTTAACAATGGTTAACTAGCAGGAGCTGGGTATTCCTAAAGACTTTTATCACAGATAGTATGTATTTTTACAATGCTTAAGTTTGTTAATAATAAGCATAGTTTTTAATTAGAAACAAACAAAAAATATATTTTTAAAACTAGCCTAACTATCCTTCAAGGTTCTATTAAGATGCTAATACTAATACACTAGCTTTACAGTCTAATTTTTATAGTCTAATTTTTATCAAGTTTTTATCCATTACAAGACTGTTAGCTCCTTGAGTCACCAATAAGTTTTCATATATAGCATAGTGCTTTCTGCTCAGTATACAATTAATAAATATTTGCTGGATTTAATAACCAATTGGGCTATTACTATCCTTCTGTCTGTGCTAAAATGCAGTCATGCTCAATGCTCACAAACATTTGCCAGAAGAGGCTAAATGTTGAAAACTAGGCATATATGCTTCTACACTTAAGGCAAAACAAAACTGTCCCATATTCAAATTCACATCAGCTAGGAACAAGTATGTGTCTAGGAACTAATGAGGAAAAAAGAGTACAGTATCCCCCCACCCCCTTAACCAGTTTCAGTTACCCACAGTCAACCACAGTCTGAAAATATTAAATGGAAAATTCCAGAAATAAACAATTCATGAGTTTTGAATTGCACACTGTTGTGAGTAACATGATGAAACCTCAGGCTACCCTGCTCTGTCCCACCTGGGAGGCAATCCCTTTGTCCAACATATCCATACTGTATATACAATACAGTAAGATATTTTGAGGGAAAAGATCACATTCAAATAGCTTTATTCCAATATATTGTTATAATGGTCCTATTTTATTAGTTATTGTTGTTAATCTCTTAATTGTGCCTATCTTATAATTAACTTTATCATAGTATATATACGAAAAAACATAGTACATATAGAGTTTGGTACTATCAGCAGTTTCAGGCATCCACTGGGGGGCTTGGATAAGGGGCGGGACTAGTTTCAGGCATCCACTGGGGGGCTTGGGTAAGGAGCAGGACTTCAAGTATAAAAAAAAAAAAAAAAATTAAAAGGAATAAAGAAAAGTGGCAAAGTTTTTTTCAGGTACATACTTCCAGTGTAAATTTCATTTAAAAAAAAAAAATCAACCTATGGGTTCATAGAAATAATAAAAAAGCTATAAAACAATACAATATCAACAAATTACAAGCATCCTATGGTCATTTTCTTGGCTGTTGCTTCTCTCCTGTCCATGCTCAGTTACCTATCACTCAGGTCAGAAATACTTTCCATCATCATTGGGCATATCCTCATAGCTTATTTTATTTGGAAGGAGTATAAACATTTTTATTAACATGTAATAGATAGTGAAGTATACAAATTACTACAAAATGGGTATACTCATGCTACCATCTAAATTGAAGTATAGGACAGCAGTTCTCAAACTCTGATCTTAGAACCCTCTTACAGCCCTAAAAACTGTGGAGTCAAGGAGCTTTTGTTTATGTTGATATATGTCAAAAATTGGCCTATTAAAAATAAAAATGTTTTAAATGTTTTAATCAATTTTAAAATTAAAATTATAAATGCAACTATATCTTGTCATAAAAAATAGTCTCCCAATAAACAAGTAAAATTAGAAGAGTGCCATTGTTTTACATTTTTGTAACTCTCAATGCCTGGCTTAATAGAAAACAGCTAGATTCTCATATCTGCTTTGGTTTTCCATCTGCTGCAATAAGCTGTTTAGGTGGAAGTATAGAAAGAAAATTAAGCACCACTGTATATATTTTAATAGACTTTTCAGATAATTGTGGGTAGTCTTTTTCAGTACTATATCAAAACATGACAAGTGAGAATTTTTTATAGTAATCACAATATAGAATCTGCAACCGTATCAATAAATTTTTCACACTGTTACATTAAAATCCACTGCCCTACTTTGTATTTTGAATGAACCATTTATCCATACATGATTTTGTAACATTACACATTGGTTATCTGGAAAATAATGGTTCACTAAGTTATGCAGATCTTCCACATATTGACACATTTCATTACACAACATCAAAACATCACATTTGTTAACATTGCCAATAATCTCATCAGAAAAGTCCATAAAGACTGGGAAGCTATCAGACTTGCTGTGGTGGATATAAGTTTTCCAAACTTCGATTTTTTGCTAAAAAGCTTATTTTATCATTGGCAAGGTATACTGTTGTGTTCCCTGACGTGACAGGCTCACTTTGTAAACTTTGAAGAAAATGTCTGCCAAATACCCAAATCTAAATAATTAGTTTCAGTTGTTCTTTCAAGTAAAAACAATGATCCATAAACAAAGCAGCTAGTTCAACATCCAGCTCAATCACACAAGTGCTATTCCTTGAAGCAGCCTTTGTACTTTAATATGTAGTGTAAGTCCATTATGCATACTTCTCATTTCATCACGCAGAGTATTAAAAAGATGTGTACTTAAAGGTCACAACTTAATAAAACAATTTTCCTGCTTCAAAGATATTCTTAAGTAAAACTAATATTTTTTATAAAAAATCCAAAGTGTGTGGCAGTGAAGAATACCCAGTAGTTAGAAGGCACTGCCTTGATTTGTGCTAACGTTAACATATTATTGCTTTTGCTGCCTCAGTGAAAATACAAAAATACAAAAGAGAAGGCAAATAATACTTAAATATTATCATAAAAATAATTTTGACCTCAAAGAATCCCTAAAAGGGTCTTGGTTACCCAGGTGTCCACATTCCACAGAACCACTGATATAAACCATTACCAGCACTCCAGAAGACCAGCTCACGTACTCTCCTAATCATTCACCAACCAGTCATTATCCATCCCCATTTTTCTGTCACAGGAACCACTATCCAGACTTCTAACACTACTGAATTATTCTTCTATTTTTTAACTAAGTATAAATGTTATCATACAATGTATATTCTTTTCTCTCCTTCTGCAGCAAACTTAGCTAAAGGATTACACAAAGCTTTGTGTTCTACTGCATCAATATCAGTTCTAAATTTTTATTACTTCCTTCATTCTGTTTTTCAAAATTCACTTTATTCTTTATCATGCAATTGAGAACTTTATTGTTTAATCATTTACATGTATGTCTGGAACTGATTTTTGTAAATGGAAAATCTGATTTCCCATCAAATCCAGCAGCATTTCTTGAAAGACATCACTGAATTCTGGTCCATAAGTCTGTCTATTTTTGCGCCAATACCACACTTTCAATTGTTGTAGGTTTACTTTTGATATCAGGAAGTATAAATCCTCTTATCTTTTTCAATACTTTCATCAATTACTATTTGCCATTTGGATTCCCATTTATATTTGGGATCATATTAAATCTGTAGATCAATTTAGGAAAAATAAATTACTATAATCTCTATGAAAAGTATATATCCATTTATTTATATCTCCTTTGTTTTACCTCAGTAATTTTTTGGTTTTCACTGCAGAATTCATCTTTCATAAAATCCTAGGTATATGGTATGGTTGAATGCTAACTTAAGTGTTATTTTTTTAATTTTATTTTCTAATTATCTATTGCTACCTTATTGTACTTTTGCCCCACCCTGTATTTTACTTCTGCATATCTTGGCTTATAACTCTTTTAATATCTTCTACTAATTTTATAATCTCTGTCATTTCTGGGTGAGTTCTGATTAACTCATTTTCTTCTCATCAGGGGTGCTTTTTACTACTTATTTGCCTGCTTGGTAATTTTTTACTGGATGCCAGACCACTGTGAATTTTACATTGTTAAGTGCTGGATATGTTTGTATTCCTGTAAATGTTCTAGAACTTCACTCTGGGACATAGTTAAATTTAAATTATTTGACAACAGGAATGAAGTACTGATACATGCTATAACATGGATGAATCCTAAAAAAGTGTTTCATGAAAGAAGCTAGATATAAAAAGATCACATATTATATGGTTCATAACATGACCAGTATCTAAAAACTCGCCAGAAATGCAAATTTGAAGAACCCAATCCAGACCTGCTAAATCAAAAATTCTCAGGGCAGGAAGTGGGGAGTGGGGAGACTGGAACAGGCAGCAATATGGCTTTTAACAGCCCTCTTAGTAAACAACTTCCCTAGATTTTACAACATGCCCTGGACTTGGTAGTTTTACCACTTCCCATGCAATGCAAACAAATCAACTACATAGACTTTCTCCTGCCTTATACCAATATTGTCATGTATTTTAACTTCTATAGTAATTTAGATTCAAAAGTGTTGTGTAATATAATGGCACTTACTGTTTTAAACAATACATACACAGATTTACTGACATACATACTCTTTTGGTGTTCTTCATTCTTTTGTACACAAGATAATTTTCCTTTCATCTGAAAAATTAACCTCCCTTTAATGTTTTAATACTGGTGTACTAGTAACATATTCTCAGGTTTTATTTCTGTAAAAACCTACTTAAGCTTCATTTTTCACAGAAATTTTAACTGTAGAAATCTAGATTGGCAAGTATTTCCTTTCAGCACTATCAAAATTTCATTCTGGTGTCCGGTTTATTGTTGCTCCTTTGAAGTTGCCTGTTTTTCCCCTCTGATTTTAAGATTTTTTTATCTTTGTTTTTTAGCAGTTTAATTTTTATTTGCTTAATAAGGTTTTCTTTTCATTAATCCTGCTTGGGGTTCTCAGAACTTTCTTGAATCTATATTATCTTTTTCAGTTTTAAAAAATTAAAATATTGCTTCTTCTTTGTTCCTTTTTCCTGCCAAGTCTGTTAGACCTTTCTCCACATCCCATTTCTCTCTTAAGTTTTTCTGACTTTTCCTTTTTCTTCTTTCTTGGTGTTTCAATATGTTCTATTGATCTATCTTCCAGTTCACTAACTCTCTCATCTGATGTGTCTGATCTGTTAAACCCATCTACTGAATTCTTAATTTGTTATTATTTTCTTTAGTTGTATAGTTTCCTTTTTTCTTCCATACAGATTACTATTCTCTAATAAACTTTCTATAATTCATCAATTTACTTGAACATATTAATCAGTTATTTTAAAATCATTATCTATATCATTTGTGGATGTTTACACTTTTTTCCCCCTCTTGGTATTTTATTATTTGGTCCTATTTCCTGGAATGTCTAAAAACTGATTGAAGGTGAGACCTTACTTATGAAAACTTGCCAAAGCTCAGGCTGATGTCATCTTCTTACAAAAAGATTTTCACTTTCTTTTGGCAAGCAGGAGAATATCAGCATACAACTCTAATAGCAATTTGAGACTGGTCTATTTTGATTTGCTCTTACTCACAGAACACAACCCTTCTGAGGTATCAACTTGAAAGCCTGGGTGTTTACCATGGCTTTTTAAAGATCCACAAACTTCAATTTTTGTCTTCACCTTCTCTGTTAAGATTGCTGAATTCTGGCTAGTGAAAAATTCTATTTGATTTTTCTGAGTCTGAGCCCAAGCACACACAGGTTAGGAGTTAGCAAATGCCTTAAGTGCATGTTGCTTGCAAAAACTTGAGCTTACTTCTGAGATTTCTCAGGATCGTAGTCCTCAAGCCCTGACTGTTTGCTAGCCCCAAGCTCGTTTTTGTCTCCCTAGCCCAATGACTGCTCTAAGCTGCTGCTTTCTATTTAGCCTGTATGTCATGCACTGAGAATTGGGAAATGTACCAAGGGAAAATTTGCAGGGCTTATCTCAACATGTTTTCCCTTCTTCTGGGAGCCTGGATAATGAAGTCTTGGTTGTTTCGTTCTCGAATGCCTTCCCCCTTTTTTTTTATTAGTGGTGAGGGTGGTATTTTGTATAGACAGGCAAAAGGGTTAAGCTGATTCTAGCTATTCCATCATACCTGGAAGCAGAATTCCAGAAACTCCAGCTTCTTTGACTCCCATATCATGAAGTCCTAGCATTACTATTTCCTAACTATCTATGTTTAGGCCTTACTATCTCCTACTTGGACTATTGCAAAGACTAGTATTGGGTTTTTTATTCCAATGCATCTGCTTTATCAGGAATTCTCAAGGATAGCTGGGCATCATTAGGGATTTTTAAAAGTACAGATTCCTGGGCCCTATCCACAAGAATAAAGTAACTTATCTGATAGGCCTATAATGGAATCTGGGAATTACTCCTCCTCACACACACATATCCCTCCCCTAAGTGATTCTGATGAAATTATTTCACAGATTGATATTTGGAAAAAATTCATTATTTTACACCTCAGCTGCCAGTTTCCTTTCTAAATTGGAAATATGATTAGTCACTCTGACTATAATTTCTTGTTTATTCATTATCTTTCTACAAATAAAAATTCCTATGTATACTATATTATTGCAATTGTGTATATGTACGTGCTTGTATTTATGTGTGTTTGTATTTATGTACGTGTTTGTATTTATGAGCAAGTGGAAGAGTGAGAGACAGAGATAAAGCAAGAGCAAGTGAAAGCAACACAGAGAAGGAGAGGGCGAAAGCAAGACTAAAAGAGAGTAGGAGCATGAATTTGAGAAATGGATGGCTTCAAGGTGCTTATTGTCTAGTAAGGGAGGAAACAGATGCACCCATAGGACTGAGCTACTTCATGAACCTCCCAGGGTCTTTTTAGGGTTTAGAAATATAAGATTAAGAAAAGTTTTGACTCTTGTTTCAAAAAGAGAGAGAAATACAGCAAACTACCACATACTATTTCTGGGTGTATGTCATTAGACTTGAACATCTTAAAGCAGGTTGACCACCATTCCAATGAACTCTATGAGTTCGTCCAAATTATTTATTTAGATTCTGTTGACTCTCTGGGAATTTGACAATCTTTTTCTCATATATTTAGAGGGGTAATCAATGATTTTGAAACAAAAATGATACAATACAATGCTGACTCAAAAATTCTACCAATGAGAACTGGCAGTGTTAAGAATTTAAATATAGAACTTCCCAATAAGCATCTTCCAATTTCTCCAGAGAAATATTTTCTTCTAACTTGTATATACCTCAGAACACTAGATTCAGCTTTCAAGCTGCCATGTATGGGCTGGCCAAATTTATATCATCTTTAAATTCAACCATATAGAATTCTATTGTTATTACAAAGGCAAATTAAATGTATTACTCAATGACATTTCAAAAGTGTTTTAAAAAATGTAATTACTTTGTTAGTCACAGTGTTGATTGCCAGAGTTGGAGAGGCACTTCCCGAAATAATACACTCCATTCCCAAAGAATCTGAATCTATGCTATATGGAGTTGAGGCCTAAAATACAAGAACAAAATAAATAATTATTAGCTCATATATCCAGCAACTTTAATACAATTTGAAAGTATTTCATCAAATTCTCCAACATCCAGTTTTGTACTTCGTTCCTGAAAATGAACTTAAACCACCGGGAACAATGGAAAGACAAGATTAGAAGGAACATGGACTTCTAAATGACCTTGTGGAACAGGGCTGGTTATCCATCTACCCACTATCAGCTCCAACTTTTATTTGAGAGAAGTAAATCTCTCTGGTTTAGGCCTCTCAGGTTTTTTTCCTTCGCCTGTTAGTACAACTGAACAATATCCTAAATAACCCAACTTCATATGCACTGTTTATAAAGCCAACATGGATGTGAAAATCAATATAGATGGTTTTCTACATTTAGAATTTGGATACTGTGACAACTCCTCTCTCTCTCATAAGAGAGTTTTTACTGCTTTGTTGAGCCCTCAAGAGAGTTTAAATTAATGCTGAAAGTTAAAGAAGGGCAAACATAAACAATTTTTGACTATAATGCTAGTTCTGTGTACATTCCCTCTCTGGCAAAAAATATTTGTCCACACATGACCCCAACCAAACATTTATTTTTAAAAGATCATATTAGATGAGAAAGAGTAATTTCACTGAGACACATTCCTAAGATTAATCTATTCATCACTTAATTCCTCAGCATAATTTTTTTCATCTGGTAATCTACAAGGGTAGGGAACAGGCATCTTGATTGAAATGAAAAAAGGAAAAATAAGTGTCACCACTAGAAGGCAGAATCTAGCACTTAGGTGCTGGGTACACACTGACAGTGAGGTGAAAATAGAAAAGGGTTTCAGAAATACAAGTGGAAGAACTACAAAGAGTCTATGCTTCAATTTTGGTGCCAGCCAACTTAGATATACCTAAATTAACACAAGACTACTTTAGAAAGCTACAAATCTCATGTTCCTCTATTTCAACTCAGTCGTCACAGTCCTGACTACTATTCCACTATTTAATTCTCACTAATCCCCATTGGTAGGAAGAGGCAAGCCTGTGTTGTGTGATTTCATGCAAATTACTCAACCTTTACCTATTTATTAAGACTTGTTTTGTAGCTCAACATGTGCTATATCTTGGTGAATGTCTGTGTGCACTTGAAAAGAATAGGTATTCTATAGTTGCTTGGTACAGTGTTCTCTAATATCAATTACATCAAGGCATTTGATAATGCATTCCAATGTTCTTTACTGATTTTTATTTATCAGCTTTTGCTTCATGTATTTTGAAGATCTGTTATTAGTCACATTTGCATTTATAATTGTTATGTCTTCATCAATAATTCCTTTACTAAATGTTTTTTAATTTCCGTTATACTCTGTTTTAGCTGATATTAATATAGTCATTGCACCCTTACGCTTACTGTTTGCATGGCATATTTTTCCATGCATTACTTCAACTCAACTGAGTCTGTGTATTTGAAGTTGTGGCTCTTGTAGGCCGCATTTAGCTAAGTCTTGTTTTTTTAGCATCTCTGACAATTTCTGCCTTTTTACTGGCATGTTTAGACCATTAACATTAATGTAATTTTTGGTACTGTAAGACTTGGATCTAAATTGTTTTCTGTTTCACCTCTATGTTTTTAGTTCCTTTCTTCCACTCTTTTAAATTATTTAGATATATTTTAGTATTCTAATTTATCTACTGGCTTTTTAGGTATACCTCAAACTAGATTTACTAGAGAATGTATTCCATGTGAAAAACGGCATCTATAAAAGCCCTACAGCTTATGTCATAACTTACAGTGAAAGACTAAACACTTTCCCCTTAAGAACGAAAACATGCAACGAAGCCCACTTCACTACTCCTATTCAACACTGGAGAGTCTAGTCACTGCAATAAAGTGGGAAGACACAGTGGAGAGAAGAGCGAGGGACAGGAAAACTGTGTATTCGTACATGACATAACTGTTTATATAGAAAATCCCGAGGTATCTTCAAAACAACTACTAGAAGTAACAAGATTATAGGATACAAGGTTAATATACAAAAATTAATTACACTTTTATCTACTGGCAGCAAGCAATTGGAAAATAGTTTTTTAAAAGACTATATTGCATCTGAAAACAAAATATTCAGAACTAAGTGTAACTGGAAACATCCAACTCCTCTACACTGAAAACTTAAAAAAAGCCATTCCTGAGAGGAATTCAAGACCTAATGAATGGAGAGATGGTGTTTTCATGGCTTAAAATAATCAGTATTGTTAATATGCTTATTATCCCCAGATCAGGGCTGCCTGGGGATGAGAATGGAAGGAGGCATGAATTACTAAAGGACATAAGGAAACTTCAGGGAGGTTGGAAATGTTCATTTGACACTGGTGATAATTTCATGTCAAAACTCCTCAAATTATAAACTTTAAATATTCAATTAACTGTATATAAACTATATCTTAAGTATTATTTTTTTAAAAAGAACCAAAAAATCCTATCCATTTATCAAAATGGACCCTCATGAAAAACTTCCTGGTCTACATCTCTAATTAAACAGGATTTTTCCAATTTAAAAATTCCCAGGAAATTCTATTTACACACATATCTTGGAGGCAACATGTAGTGCCTCCCACATAATGTACACCCAGTACGTTTGCCAAACTGAAATAAATACTTTTTTTGCTCTAAGAGTTCTAAGAGTAGGAAAGCAGGTTGCATTCCTTCCTTTGCTTACTTAATCCTTTAACACTCACTCAGACTCATCCTCAAAGAAGGCACACAGTGGGGCATCACTTAATCCACAAAACCACTCTGTATAACAATGGAAGAAATTAAAACACAAATAGCACAAAGACAACAATCTCAAAAATGTAACAAGATACAGAGTATTGTCCCACAGGCATGGCTGATCAGTTGAGCACCGACCTTTGATCAGGGAGACTGAGCTTCAATTCCCGTTCAGGGCACATGCCTGGGTTTGGGGCTCGATCTCCAGTAGGGGTCCCGCAGGAGGCAACTGATCAATGACTCATCACTGATGTTTCTATCTCTCTCTCTCCCCCTCACTTAATCTCTCTGAAATCAACAGACTTTTTTTTTTTTAATTTAAAAAAAAAATGATGCAGAGTATCCTGCCTAGAAAAATGTCCTCTTTCCTATTTATCCATCCATCCTCCAGTTATCTTCCTGATTAAACTTGTAATCATCTTTGAATTATAACACACAATTTAGCTCTTAACTAAAATAAAAAATGTGTATTCTCCCATCTTTGTCCCAATAAAAGGTGGATAATTGCAGATTATGTATTTTTTGCAGAGGATAATATGTTTAGGATAGTGAGTTTATATAGCTATGACCTTTACTCCCTCAAATAATTTCTACACAATGCGTAAGAAGATTTAAGCAAAACTATCCACAGCAATTTCCTCTTGATCTCCCTGCTTTACCCTTTTACAGCTTATACCCCACACAGCGGCTAAAGTAATCTTATTAAAATGTAAATCACATTACATCACTACTTTGCTTATATCCCTTCAATGGCTTTCCAACTCCCTCAAAAAAAACCCAAGTCATTACTACAAAGCATACAATGCCCTCAATCTTCCTCCTGCTCCTACCGCTTACTTCTCTGTCAAGTCCTATTGTTATAGGCAGTTAGACAGACATGAACAGAGCAAGGACAATGGGCCAGGTACAGAAACTCACCAATGTGGAAAGCCTCAGATGCCCAGCAAGGAGTAAACTGGAAAAACAAGAACTTCACCCCCAGGGTAACCTATGCTCCCCTAGCATATCACTGGTCATGCAGTTTGGACCCCTGACTTTTCATATCATTAGTCATGTGGTTTCGACCCCCCCTCCCCCCAAACTTTACCTCCCCAAAGATAACATCTAGGCCTTAATAGTATTTCATCTCCAGGCCCAGAAAAGCAGCAAAACCAGACAAGTGACACCATGGCTGCCTCAGGACCAGCTACATTGACACCAACCAATCAGTGGAGACTATGACCCTGAAAGGACACACCTGGAAAACTGCTGAATAATTCTATCAAGACCTTCCCGAGACCTCCCCTAAGATTTCCACCTACAAGACAGAGATAACTATGCTCAGGATAAAGGACCCAGTGTGCACTCTCCTCCAAGGGAGCATGCCCATGCCATTCCCTTCCTCCTTCTTCCCTCTAAGGGACCCCATGAAACTTGCAACCAGGGGAGCTGTGGGCAGTGGCAGCTCGTCCCCAGGTAACCCCCTGAACCTGTCTCCAAGGCCCCCTTTTCTCTGACTTCCCAGTGAGCAAGGCAGCTCAGCCTAGGCTATCCTGTTACTTCTTCTATGCCCTTCCTTGTTTCACTGTCCTAAGTATATTTTTGCTGCAGTCAATAAATTCTTACTTTGCTACGCTCTGTCTCTTAACTGAAAACTATGTTCACATTAATACTAACACATTCCTTGCTCATTGCCCCACAGTTCTAAACCGCCTCTCAGAGTTCCCAGTGGGACTGAGCTCCAAGTGCTCACAGTGGTAACTGACTTGATAGTTGCTCCACTTTACTAGAATCAACCCTCAAACTACCTGTGATCAATCCTTATCTACCTCTGGGGAAACTCAAATCATGGCCGTTATCTTTTCCTTTCTCAAAAGAAATGTCTCCTGGGATTAGACATGAAATCTTCCTTTAACACAATAGCTTTCAAACTTTTTGGTTGTAGGACCCCTTTACACTAAAAAGTAACTGAGGATCCCAGAGAGCTTTTGTTTATGAGAGGTAGACCTATTGATATTTACCTATTAGAAATTAAAACTGATACAAAATTTATTCATTTAAAATAAATAATAACATGCATTGTGTTAACATAAATATTGTTTTGTATGAAAAATATAGTCTTCAAAACAAAAACTTGAGAGAATGGGATTTTATAGTTTTTTTTAAATTGCTTTAATAATTGCCTTAATAGAAAACCATTAGATTCTCACATCTGCCTCTGCATTCAATCTATAACAAAATCACAAGTCATGTAACCTCTAGA